TTTTAAGATTTAGTTTAAGGCTCAGCGCCTATAGCTCAGCGGCTAGGGTGCCAGCCACATATACCAGAGCTGACAGGTTCAAATCAAGCCCAGCCTGCCAAGCAACAATGACAATTACTACCAAAACATAGCCAGGTGTTGTGGTGGGTGCCTGTAGTCCCAGCTACTTGGGAGGCTAAGGCAAGAGAATTGTTTAAGCCCAAGAGTGTATGGTTGCTGTGAGCTATGACGCCACAGCATTCTACCCAGGGCGATGGCTTGAGACTCTGTCTCAAAAAAAGGAAAAAAGATTTAGTTTAAATCATTAAATTTCATCAGAGAGTCTGGGTTCCACCTTCCATTCTTCTCTAGGGCTGCTCCTTGGTGTTTCTTTTATCCTTTCACACACACACAAGAAAATTTTATTTGAGACAGTTTCACTTTGCCACCCTTGGTGGAGTGCCACAGCATCATGGCTCACAGCAACCTCAAACTCTTGGGCACAAGCGATCCTCTTGTCTCAGCCTCCCCAATAGCTGGGACTACAGGTGCTCGCCATAATACCTGGCTATATTTTTAGAGACGAGGTCTCAATCTTGCTCAGGCTGGTCTAGAACTCCTGAGCTCAGGCAATACACCCACATCAGCATTTATCACAAATTCTATTTGTTGGGTGGTGCCTGTAGCTCAGTGAGTAGGGCGCTGGCCCCATATACCGAGGGTGGCAGATTCGAACCCAGCCCTAGCCAAACTGCAACAAAAACATAGCTGAGCATTCGGGCGGGCACCTGTAGTCCCAGCTCCTCAGGAGGCTGAGGCAAGAGAATTGCCTAAGCCCAAGAGCTGGGTTGCTATGAGATGTGACACCATGGCATTCTTACTGAGGACAACAAAGTGAGATTCTGTCTCTTAAAAAAAAACAAACAAAACAAAACCAAATTCTGTTTATTCATTTTTTTATTTTTCTGACTCCTCTGTCAGACTGTAAGGTCTCTGAGGGGAAGGGAGACATGTATGTCCTTAAGAGACATGCTTATCACTGTATTCTCAGCATCAACCACATAATAGGTGTTCAAGAAATCTTTGCTAAATAAAGGTGCAATGAGCAGGTAGCAACAGGGCACCTGGGGATAAAAGGAAGGATGGATGTACTCTCTGCTCTCAGAACTATCTGGTATGAGCGGCATACTAGAAACAGGGAGAATGCAATGAGGTCAGGTCCAGATTGAGGGAGAGGGAGCATTTTAGGGCACCTAAATCAGGACTAATCTCTGCTGGACTTTTGTGACCAATCACCTAGAACCCATGGTAAAACCATTTGGCTTCACTCTGCCATGTTATTCTATTAGGCCTATACCTTAAGCACCCAACCAGCTACAGAAGCTGACAACTAATCTGGCAATGTGCTCAGAAGGTCTCCAGACCTACTGCTTTCTCCATTGAGGGAGAACTTGCCAGTCAGCTTCACAGGTCATTTGTGGCCAAGTCCATGCTGGAGGGTCCCAGAGACAACCTCACACCTAGCCTAGCCTTGCCTCCAATCATCGCCTGGTCCCCTGCTCAGAAGAGAATTTGGTAAGCATTAAGGAAGACAACATCTGCCTAGTCCTTGGGATTAGTGGGATGACAGATGTCCCAGCCAGTATGCCTTTATATCTAGAGCATAGATAGTTCATTTCACATGGCTCAGAGAAAGTTAGTGCCTTGGAGAGCAAGTGGCTGACCTGCCTTCCTGTTCTGGACTAAAAAAAGGAGCAGGCTCTGGCAGGAAAGACTCAAAGGGAACCCAGCAGGAGGAAGAGGAAGGAAGCCACGGAGAATTTCCTTCTATGAAAAGAGTCTTGACCTCCTGCCTTGGGAGGAGAAATTTACTTCTTAGTCTAATCTTCTCCCCACAGTGGGAAAGATGGTAGCTGCTTCTCAACAGAGAGCAAGAAATCTTTTTTTTCAGCCTCCTCTCATATTTATCCATTTCCACCTCAGGAGCCAGAAAGGTAGGCTCAGTTTCCCAACAACTTTCACTTTCAGATGAAAGGACCTCCAAGGACCTCCACCCAGCCTATACCTTCCTTGGAGTTTGCTTCACTGTCCCGGGAGGATGCTTTTAGGCCAGAGTCCTCCAGTGTGTCCCTTGATCATCCCCTACCTGCAGCTAGGCTGATGATGCCTCTGTCCACATTTTTTAAATCTGTCTGGGAATAATCAAAGTGACTCATTAACACCCCCTGAACGTTACAAGGCACAGTTAGTTTTGATCTTTTTCTTCTCCCATGAGGGTGCCAGGGTCGGGAATGATCTCCAACTTAACTCAGAAAGGTTAAGATTACTTGCCCAAGGTCATACAGCGTGAAATAGTGAAATCGGCAAAACACTTGTTTTTCCTGCCCAGCAGTTTGGCAGGTGCTCAAATGATATTTGTGCAAAGACTGAAATCTGTGGTTTCTTCATTCCTCTAGCCTGTGGGTACTTCTGTGTGATGGGGTAGGGGGAATGTGAGGGGTTGGGAGGGGAAGAAAGCTGTCTTCCTAAACGAACCTTTGACTTCCTTACTCCCCAAGAAGTTACAGATTCAACTAATCTCTCTGACTGCATCCTACCTTCAGTGTATTTACTAGAGCAATGCCCCCTTCTCCAACAGCAATGAAGAGTAAACCAGTTTCCTACTCAAAAGAGCAAAGATTAAGAAAAAAGACAAGACAAAAAAGTCCAAATAAACAGCCCCATTTCCTCACAAAATATACAACCCCAAACCAAACAACCAAAGCACAGGCTGAACCCCTGGATTGTCCGCAGACGCCCCCAACACGCCACCACGCCACACTGCGCAGGAGAGGCGTCGGGGAGGGGGCGCGGAGCGCGGACCAGGAGCTCTACAGGGAGCCGGTGGGCGCCGGGCGCGCTGCCAGGCCGGGCCGCACCGCGGGGGCCGCTGGCCCTCTCCACGTGGTGGAGGCAGCGGCGGGGTCCGGGGCGCCTTCCCAGCTGGAGAAACCCAGAGCAGCCGGGGAGGAGGAGGCGGAGGAGGCGGCGGCGGCGGAGGAGGAGCGGGGCGGGAGTTGGGGGAGGGGTGGGGGGTGGGGAGAGACCCGGCGGCGGCGACAGGGCGAGGAGCAGAGCGCGGTGCCAGGGGGGTGGGGGCACTGGTGCCCGTCTGGGGAGGGAGCAGGCGGAGGGGGTAAGCTGCGATTACAAGCAGGAACCGGCAGCAGCTGTGAGTCCCCGGCTGGGGCTAGGGCGGGGGGAGAGGCATGGGGGCCTGGCCCCAGGGGTCGCGGGGTGGGCCGGAGGAGGAGGAGAGAGGTTGGCAGGCACTTTGCACAGGATGACTGGGAGGGGAGGGGTCTGGCACCGGCCTTCCGCATCCCCTAGTCCCACTCTGCCGCTGCTTCTCAGGCCGCGCAGCCTCTGGAGCCCCTTCCCAGGTCCGGGAAGAGCGGCTGGGGGCCCCGGGCTCGGCCGCCTGTGGGGGAGGGGGCTGCGTGGTCTCAACCTCGGAGAGGGGAGGGGCGACAATTTCTGTCGGCTGAGCTGAAGGGGTTTAAAGGGCGGCTCTTAAAGGGGCCGCAGGAGGGACCCGGGCCGATTGAGGCACCCCTTCTCCACCCGCCTTTCAGTGGGCTCGCCCGGGCCGCTGGGCCCAGAGAATGCGGTGGAAGGTGGGACGGCCCAGGGGACAGAGCCTCGCGAGTGGGGGTGGGCCGGGGTGGCGCAGAGAGGCCTAGGGGGTGTGGTGAGTGCTGGCGCGCGGAGTTGGGGGGAGGGGATGGCGTGGGAAGGAGAGGGTTAAAGGTGGGGCCGGCCCTACAAACGCGCGCACACACTCCTTACTCAGACCCAGTCGCACGCGAGTCCCTGGCGCTTAGATGAGGTTAGGGAGGGCGGTAGTGGGGCCTCTGCCTGGGCCCTTTGCACCCCAACTTCGGGAGGTCAGGGTCCCCAGTGTGTGAACTCGCACCTCCTGGCTGAGCCCCCTTTCCCTGGCACACACGCTCCAACGCGCGCGCACACACCTCGGACATTCCCATAGTGCCTCACGTGACACACGGCCCTAACGTGCCCCCTGCCCACCCGCTCACGCACGCGTGCACACACAGTCTCCCACACTTCCTAACTTCACGCTGACCCCCCTCCGCCCCCATGGTACTCATTGACTGTGACACACCTACACTCATTCACAGACACACTCCCCCCACACGCCAGCCACAGACACACATTCATAAACAAGGCCGGGAGAAGTACACACGCACCCCCTCACTGCCTACTCTTTCTTTCGGGAGCCCTGAGTCATTCCGGGCACCCTATCTCGGTTCCCCATTTCCCAGTGTGTGGGTAAATTGGGACGGACATGGGAATCCATTAGTCTGCCCTTCACCTGAGACCCCTTGCCCAGTCTGCTCCCTCTGACACTCAGCCAAGGACTTCCTGTAGGTCCCAGGTCAGGGCCCAGAAGAGCCTGGATGGTTGCCACTGTGCTTGTGGGGGAGGCACTTCCCTTTCCTGAACTCCAGGATCCTGCAGGAGGAAGCAGGGAAGTTGGGTGGGGGCGCGCAGAGGGTGTGCTGACTGGCTGGGCTGACTCTCCTAGTAGCACTGGGCCTTCCTTGCTCAGCCTTACTTAGGGAGGAGCTGGGGTGCCAGAGACCTGGGCTGAGGAGCTTGGCTGCGAGGTATTTGGGGAAGTGAGGCCTGGGGTGGACCAGGCAGGCTCTGGTCTGTGCCTCAGCTGGGAAGGCAGCTCTTTCCCATCCAGAGGTTTCCCTGGGTTCTGGAAAGAGTCCTTTCCTGCCACTGCGCTGGCTTACTTGTCCCCTGCTTTTCAACCCCCAAGTCTTCACCTCTAGTCCTTTCCCCAAAGGCAGCAGAGAGGATGGGGTTTAGTAGTCTGGGAAGGGGTTGTGAGCTCCGGGCAGGAAGTTTCTAGGCTGCATTTCACCTGGCCTGGGTGCATCTGCCCGGATAAGGGGTGTCAGGGACAAGTTCCAGATGGCTCTCTCCACGATAGCTCCTGCTCTCCCAGGGGGCCCGGTGTGGGCCACAACCCGGCCCCTTGCCATGGAGTCCATGTTTGAGGACGACATCAGCATCCTGACCCAGGAGGCCTTGGGACCCAGTGAAGTGTGGCTGGACAGTCCTGGAGATCCCTCTCTGGGGGAGGATATGTGCTCTGCCTCCCATTTTGCCCTCATCACAGCCTATGGAGACATCAAGGAGCGGCTGGGGGGCCTGGAAAGGGAGAATGCTACCCTCCGCCGCCGCCTCAAAGTCTATGAGATCAAGGTCAGAACATGCAGAGGAGGGGATCTAACTGTGTGTGGGAGGATGGGGGCAGGATGGCAGGATCTGATCTGGCAAAGATTCCAGGGATCCAAAAGAGGGATAAGGATGCCAAGTCTTAGGAACTTGATGGTCTCTTGTGAGAAATGTGACTGCTCTGGATTGGAAACTCTGAAGACCCCAGCAGCCAACTGGGGTCTTGGCTTTGGCGTAGCTAGACCTGGGATCTAGAAAAGATCTAGTTGGTGGGAGAGGCCTTCAGGGCATGTGAATTGGGATCCCACTGGGGTGGGGGAGGTAGGGACTTTGAAGCAGGGCAGTGGGCACAGCAAGACTGAGGCATATGTGGAGAGTGGGCACCAGCTCCTGAGGCCCTACCTCTCCTGTAGTACCCACTGATCAGTGACTTTGGAGAGGAGCATGGCTTCTCTCTGTATGAAATCAAGGATGGCTCCCTGCTGGAGGTGGAGAAGGTCAGTTTGCAGCAGCGACTCAACCAGTTCCAGCATGAGGTAAGCCCTTTAGCCTACCAGCTTGGGCTGAGCTCTCAGGGTTTCCTGCTCCAATCTATTTCTGAACCCCTGTCCCCACAGCCCCTGGCCTTCTGCCCTTTTGATCAGAGACTGTCCTCCCTAAAATCAGCTATGGCTTCTCCTGCCCTTCCATAGAGTGCAGGGAGTGAGGGTGGAGAGGGAGCTCCTCAGTCCAGGAAGTGATTGACTCTGTGATGTACACTCTGGTCCCATCCAGTTGCAGAAAAATAAAGAGCAGGAAGAACAGCTCGGGGAGATGATCCAGGCTTATGAGAAACTCTGTGTGGAGAAGAGCGACTTAGAGACGGAGCTAGGGGAGATGGTGAGGCCCAGGCAGCTGGGGGGATGCTTGCTTGAGGGTGTGCACCTGGTTGTGTGTGTGCGATTCTGTGTATGAACATTTCAGCCGTGGGGTTGTGTGCAGCCATGTATCACACTGCATTTGTGTGCACCCTGTTTGTGTTGATGTGTACCTGTGAGCACCTATTTGGCCTTGCGAGAGAGACTGTGTATGTCATCCAGGTTGTGAATGATGCCAGGGAATGCTGTGTCTCTTTGTGCCTGTGTGGCTCTCATGGTGGGTTGACCATCAACTATGCCTGTGAGTACTGCCCCTGGGGGGCCATGTGGGGCTGCAAAGGGGACAGGAGAGTGTGTGAGATGGGTCTTGGCTTGTGTGATTCGGAGTCAGGGTATGGCCATACATGTGAGCCGGTGGGCAGGTGTCAGAATCAGGTGACCTGGTCTCTGTCTTCTCTAGTTGTGACCTCAACCTTTCCTCTAACGTGGGGCAAATAATAACACTCTTACCAAGCCATTGCGAGGGTAATGGGTCATTTTGTGTAAAAATGTTTTGGCTTAATAGTCGTAGTCACTTATATGGCCCCTAGCAAGTGCCAGGCGCTGTTCTTATCACTTTTTTGAGACAGGCTCACTCTGTTGCCCAGGCTGGAGTGCTGTGGTGTCAGCCTTGCTTGCAGCAACCCCAAACTCCTGGGTTCAAGTGATCCTCTTGCCTCAGCTTCCTGAGCAGCCGGAACTACAGCTGCCCACCACAAAACCCAGCTAATTTTTCTATTTTTATTAGAGATGGGGTCTCATTCCTGCTCAGGCTGGTCTCAAACTCCTGAGCTCAAGTGATCCTCCTACCTGGGCCTCCCAAAGCACAAAGGGACAAGTATTACAGGTGTGAGCCACTGTGCCCTGCCCATTGTTCTTATCTCTTGACATGTTAACTCATTTTAATTCTCATCACAACCCCAAGAGGCAGGTGTGGTACTGTCATCCCCATTTTATAGATGTGATATGTGAAGCCCAGAAGTAGTTAAGTCATTTGTCAGTTGGAAGTTGTGATGTTCCTGAGGGGGTGGTGGTATCTGAACAGGGGACTGAGTGTTCTCATAAGTGTCCCTTTGTGCTGATGGCTGAGAAGAGGTATTAACTTGAGCTTGCCAGGAGCAATAGCCTGAAACATCTGCATTGCCATTGCTGGAAGAGACCACACATGGGCCGCTGCTCTAGTTTGGGTGGTGATGACTGTCCAGATGTGTGGAAGTCTTGAGTCTGCAGGGACCTTCACCCCTGTCTGTCCTTCTCTAGCGGGCATTAGTGGAGACCCACTTGCGGCAGATCTGTGGTTTGGAGCAGCAGCTTCGGCAACAGCAAGGTCTCCAGGATACTGCCTTTCCCAGCCTGAGCCCTCCACCAGCCCCTGCCCCACCCTGTGCTGATCTGGACCTACACTATCTGGCAATGAGAGGGGGCTCTGGCTTGAGTCATGGTGAGATCTCAGTGAGCTCTAATTCCTCTCTTCTAAGTCCCCAAGTCTGACCCGCATTTCAATACTACAAGACACCCTGCAGATTACCTAGCATCCCATTATATCTTAAATTTCTCCCATAATCACTCCATCCTCCCTTACTAACTCTTCCCTTATCTCATCCATTACTGCCCCAGTTTCTCCCCTTCTAACATGGGCATTCATTCCTTCCTTATCTGTCCCTAGCCACTCCATTGCAGTTCCCCTGTGTGCCAGCAGAGGGTGCCTTCTCCCTCTGGGCCTTCCTCTGCCTGCCTCAGGTTGTGATTGAGAGGCCCCTGAAGATGCTCTGTATTTAAGATCTGGCCAAGAAAGCCTTCAAGAGCCCATTTTGTTTTTTTCCTGGCCTCCAGGAAGATTAGAAAATATAGTCCCTCACTGTCCTTGTAAAGGTAACTCTCATCCTCAGGTATCTATCCTTCTGGATCCCTTGTGCTGTAGTCCCATCTGTTCCGCATTGTGCAAATATAAGAATCACAGGCAGCATGATCCTGAATTGTCCTCTCTTCTGATAGCAGGCTGGCCAGGTCCCACACCCAGTGTGAGTGAACTGGAACGGCGGCAGCTGGAAGAGGCTCTGGAGGCTGCCCAGGGAGAGGCTCGGGGAGCTCAGCTCCGGGAAGAGCAGCTCCAGGCAGAGTGTGAGCGGCTGCAGGGGGAGCTGAAGCAGTTGCAGGAGACCCGGGCCCAGGTAAGCAGCAGGGGCATGTCAACACCCCTGAAAGGCCCAGGACCTGGACTTCCCTCACTGCATACAGATTGACCTGAGTGGTTGACTGGGGAGTCTTGGCAAGGTGAGGGTGGGCTCTGACCTCTTGATCTTCTCCTTCAGGATCTGGCCTCCAACCAGTCGGAGCGGGACATGGCATGGGTGAAAAGAGTTGGGGATGATCAGTAAGTCATGGCCTATAACGCTTGTCCTCCAGCCTCTTAACTGGCATAGCCCGGGTCCCCTTAGGTTCTCTCCCTGTCCCTCCATGTTATGTGGGTGGCCTCTCTTCTCAGCCCTCAAGGATAGTGTCTGTGTGGCCTGTCGCTATGCATTCTTTGTAGAAAGGAGGTAAAGTTCTGGAATGTTCAGGTTCTGAGTCCCTTTGCTTTCCTCTGGGACCCAAGCCCACCTTTTCTTGAGGTATCAGAGGCTGAGAGAGATTTACTTAGCTGTTTTGCTACTACATTCTGTGTCCCCAGTAAGGTTTTGGGCCTCTCTGTGGCCCTATTAGGCCAGCCAGTTGGGGTCACCTTCCCCTCCCTCACGAGGAGGAAGGAGATGATCTCTTTCAGGAGTTGTTGGGCCTTGTCTGTTTATCTAAGGAGAGAGAACCTTTAGGCTTAAAGATAGGAGGGGCTTTCTTGGGTGCACAAGCACTGGGTGGGGAATTAGAACATACTCTGATGGGGTGTCCCTTTGGAATTCTACCAGGAAAGAGAGGTAGCAGGAAGTAGGAAGGGGAGAGCTGTGTCTTTGGGGAGCCTAACAGCGAGCTATGGGAGAGCACTGGGCAGCAAGGGAGGGGTGGGTAGCCACCCGGCAGCAGTGGAGCCTGGTACCTTTCACATCCGCACCCAAACTCACCCTCTCCTGCTTTCTGAGAAATAGAGCTCAAATCTCCTTCCGCCCAAGTCCTCTCCCCAGAGATGAGGTGTGTGGCACAGACTCCCTGCTTTCATCGGAGGGGAAGACTGAGGCCCAGAGAAAGGGGCAGGAACTAACCTTCTGTCACACAGCCCTTCTGCCCAGCAGGTTTCTTCCTCTTCTTCATCCCAGCCTCTGGCCAACTGGGGATACCCCTCTCTTCTCCCCCACCATAGGGTAAGGGCCTGGGTGGAGCTGTGATAGCTGGGGAGGTGAGAACCTTGTCTGTGAGACTGGTGGGTGGGAACCCTAAGCTAGGCCTTGTGGAGAGGGTCCACCCTAGTCTGTGGCTGGCACTCAGGGCCATCTTAGCCCAGGTCCCTAGACCCAGAATACACTCACACACATGCTCTAGAATCCGACCTTGCCACAGAAGTCAGGCTTTGTACGTCACTGAGTCCAGTCTTTTAAGACCAGCCGTGAAGTCTCCACCAGTTGATAGCACTCTGAGGAAGGATATTTTGGCAGAACCAGAATCTGACCATTTAGGCTTTTGAGTTCCAGGGACCCTTACAGAGATAACGAGTGACCCCTCAAGGGCTCAGGGGTCATCCATAGCTGAGGCATGTGAGAGGAAGGTGAGGTGGATTTGAGGGGGGAGGCAGAGAAGGGGTGGTGGATCCCCAGGGGCCATGCCTATCTGTGCCTGAGTGAAAGCACACTCATCCCAGAATGTGCTTTGGAAGTTTGGAAGTTGTACCATCCTTACCGCTCATTCTGGCCAGAGCAGGTACTGCCCTCCTCACTCATAGCACCTGCCCCGAGCAAGCCCTTTGGCCAGAGGGAACTGGGCTCTGCTTGGGGCTTGAGCCAGGCTTACCAGAGGTGACCTCCTGCCTGCTTTCCTCTTTCCCTGTGGTTCAGATCCAGGCCTCCTCCTGGGTCTCTGTGGCTGGAGCCAGCTGAGCCCTGCCTGTGCAGCCCCATGCTTCCTTTCAGCTGAGCATCTTTGGATAACCCCAGTTTGGCAAGAGTTAATTCTCAAAGGAAGTCCTCACTCCCCCGGTAGTTTTATTTTCTTATAAACTCAGCTCCTTTTGGTAATAGGCTGCTTCCCGAGTGCTCCTTCCCCTCTCCTCCCACCTGAGGAGGCCTGTGATACCTGCTCTGGGCCTCTGTTCCCCTATCAGCACCCCCTCTTTCTTCAATTTCCACTTGACCTTCCAGGCTAGTAGGAATTTTACCAGTGGCTTTTGCAAGAGTGGAATTCGGGGGCTGGATAATCCAGGTCGGGGTCAAGGTGAAATGGAAGCTGAAGAGGAACACACATTCCTGAGTCCCGCCTGCTCTGATATAGGAACTTTCCGTATCCTGAAAGGTGCCTTCCTGTCTCAGTTTGGGTACCTCCAGGGCAGCCAGTTTTACATGGGAGTCCTTGCAGTTAACACACTCTCCCTTGCTCTGTGTCCCCTTCCTGGGTCCTGTTGGAGCAGAGAAAGCAGCCCTGGGAGGCAGCCCCAGCCCCTAGGGTTTCCCATTCATTTCCCTCTCAGCCCTTGGCTGAAACTCTTGGTCATCAGTGTTTCTGTGAAAACAGACACCCAGATCAGATCAGGCCAGACCAGACCACTCCAGACTGCCACCTTTCAGATCTGACCTCGGGAAGTCCTGTCCCCGGGTCAGCACAGCTCCTGGTGTTTAGAACCTTGAGAGACAAATCACTCCAGGGGAAGAACCACTGGGGGTCACTCAGGGGCCAAAGCAGTGATGAAGGCAGTGGTGGGAGGGGAGCACACCTGGCTGGTGAGGAGAAGCTAAGGACCCCAGGAGGGTCCCAGCTGAGGGGGAGCTGCAGAACCCATGGTCCCTTCCCCTCTGGGCTCAGCTCAAAGGCACAGGGCCTTTACCAGCCCTTTCCAAGGGTGTGGCCAGTACTGGGGATGGGGAACTTGGGGAGATTCCTTGGAGAAGATGAAGAGTCCAAGGGGGCAGGTGTCTGTGAGGGAAACAAGGGCCCAGTGAGGGAGAGGGTTAAGTTGTGAGTGATCCATCAATGAGAGGGCCCGGTGATAAGATGGGGGACCTTCTATGGGTGATAGGGGGAAAACTATAGGCCTTTCTTTTTTCCCATCGTGGGGGGCTCAGTATTGCAGCCTCGGCCCTTTTCCGCCCCCCTACCCCTCCCCTCTCCGCCCACAAGCCTCTGCATGGGCTGCGGTTAGTGGTAGGGAAGAAGTGTGAACTCGAGAGAGAGGATGGAAACTCTGCACGGAGGTCAAGGGCAGTGTGGGGTGGGTCAGGACGGAAGCTGGAGACCCCGTGTACCCTGAGCATAGCTTCATGCCCCAGAACCAGTGGGTTCAGGGCCACCCCCTTCACGCTTCTCACCCTCTCTACTTCCTTTCTTTCAAGTCTTTGACCGGGGTACCCAGCAGTCACAGGAGTTAACCCCTGAGCACTTGCAGCATGGGGGCTCCCTGAGGGTGGTGAAGGGCTCTGAAGGTGGTCTGAGGGATTGGTGGGCTTTGAGCCTCAGTCTTTGATCTTTTGCCTGCCAGCAAGGAGGAGAGTTACCCATGCTTCCCTCCCTCTTAAAACAAAGTCATTAAGCTGGTGTCTCCAAAAAAAGTCTCACAGCAGGTCTCCTAGGCACTTCCCTGATTCTGTGTCCATGCCAGACACAGTATGAAGTAATTCACCTGAACAATCTCATTTCTTTCTGACAATGTGATATAGGGATCATCCCTCTTTTACACATGAGCAAACTGAGGTGCAGAAAAATTGAGTAATCCAAGAAGTTTAGTAAGTCCAGTGCACATAGCAAGCGGGTCCTGGGAAAATGGGGCAGTGATACCTCTGCGGCATTTTTCTTGTTTGGCTTGTTTGGAAGGTTCTTTTATGAGGGGCAACCATGTGACTTGTTGACCATACTGGATCACTTTTGAAAGTGAAAGGGGCACTATTAATAATTGTGCTGGGGCAACTCATATGAACAGGATAGTCCTAGGCAAACTATGACCTGTGGGCACCCCACCCTAAGCGGAGACCCTGGTTTGCAGGCCTACCCTTGAACTGCTTGGTTCAGCTGCGTGTGGGAGGCTTTCTAGACACGGGGCATTGGCTCTGGTAGAAGCGTGGCTGGGGCTGCCAAGAAGAGCCAGGCTCTGGGGACCGCAAGTCATAGCTGGTTGAGGAGAGTGAAGGGGCTCAAGGCACCTAAAAGGAAGTGGTGGAGCACTGGGTTGTTGCAAGCGACTTCCTCCTCCCCCTGGCCCACAACCTCAAGTCCGCTCCACGGCCTGGTGCCTGTGGTCCCCTCCCCAGGGGTCTGGTGGGAAGACTGACACTGGGTGTGCCTGTGGGTGGTGGAAAGTTTGGTCCTTAAACTCTCCCACAGGGGCAAGGTGGTCAGGGCAGCTGGGGGCAGCTATGGGAAAGGATGAGAGGGTTGGCAAGGCTGGATTTTTGCTCTTCTCACAATTCTGAACAATGACTCTGATCCCATGACCAGCTCTAATCTCACTCCAGTCATAGCCCTATTACTGTTCCCGACCCTGACTCTAACCCTGTTACTAATCCTGACCCCAGCTCTGTCCATTGTCTTGGCCACTATCAGGTGTCAACTCCACCGCTAGTCTGACGACTTCAAGCCCATCCTTTCTAATCCCATGACCCAGAGCTGGCCTGAACTCTGACCCTACCACATCCTCACAGCAGCACCCATGAAGCACAGGGCATGCGGAAGTCCAAGTGTCTCCTGGCTGGTTTGGGCAGATAGAGGCCTTTTACAGAGGAGGATGCTTAGGTCTCTAACTTGATTGATCTTCAGTTGCTTTTTCAGTAACAATGAAGATTGTTGTTTCTAGAACAATTTCTGAGATCCCTGAGTTATTCGTGGAAAGAATGAATGAAAGCATAAATCAATGAAGGGTGGAATGATTTGCAGCCAAGGGGGCTCTCCTTCCTGCCAGCTCTGCCATTTGCACTCTGGCTCCCCAGTAGGTGCCAGCTCAGTAGGCTGAGGTGCCAAGAGCCTGTGTTTGAATCTCTGGTCTGTGCTGCCACCACTTTGTGACCTTGAGCTAGCCTCTTCATCACTATCATCGTCCACTTCCACATATGTCTAGCACCTTCCTCTCCCCTCCTAGGAGAGGGCTCCCAGGCCATGCCAGAGACCCACAGCCCCCCCCTCATCCTTCTGCTGCCTTCTTGCCTTTCTGTCCTCTCATGATTCTTTGGTGGGCAGTATAGTGTAGTGGTCAGTAGCCTGGACTCTGGAGTCTAGGTGCTAGAGGAGAGAGAGCTCCCATTCTAGAAACTCCACTACTATTGGGATTTATGACTTTGGTCAAGTGACTTAACCTCTGTGAGCCTCGGTTTTCTCCTCTGTAAAATGGAGGTAATATCAATGGCAGTGTCATAGAGTCATTGTGAAGATTAATAAAGCTCCTAGCACACACATTGCCTGGCCCGTGATAAGTGCTCATACTGATTATCTATGATTCTTGGCTCCCTGGGTCCCCTCCAGGTTCTGAAAGACTCAGAACTTTTCCCTGTGATTTAACCAATAAAGGAGTATCCACATGCAGCCATCTGCTGCTGTTTACCTGATTTATTCTTCCTAAACAGTCATGATGGTGGTAAAAGCACTCAGGTATGGGCCAGGAAATGGAATGTGTATTTAGGTGCACGTGTGTGACTCTTGGTTGTGTTGTGAAGTCGAGATTTTTTTTCCACTGAATTGGCAATGTTTTCAGTGAGTCATTCAGGTTGTTAGTATATTCGGTGACTTGGGCCTATGCATTGTGAGGTGGGGAGAGATGCCTAATGAAGGGGGAGGACCCAGAGGGCACTGGGCATCAGGAGATGGTCAGGTGCCATCACATTGCCCGGACTCAGTGGTCTTTGTGAGGGTTGCCTAGAGATCTGGAAGGATAGTGCCTGGCTGCTCTAGTCCTCCATGTCAGAGCTGGAAGAGGGGCTGGGTATCCTGAGCCAGGGGCTTCTTCTTTCTACTTCCTGCTGGTCTGTCCTGTTGTGAGGAGCGGGCCAGGAGCTGGCCGGTGGAAACTGGGGTAGCTCCTGACAAGGGGAGGGAGGCAAGCAGGGGAGTGATAGGGACCTGGGAACTGAGTGTGGCAGGTGAGATCTCTGAGGTAGGGTGTGAAGACGACGACCTGTATCTGTCACCTAAAATACAGCAGTGAAGGTGGATAGGGAGAGAAACTGGCTGTGTAGACAGAGGACCACATTCCACCAGGGCCTTGCCCACGTCCTCTTTCTGCCCCTACCACCAAGGAGATGGCATGTTCCTGCCTTCTGGAAGTCCCAGTCTAATGGGGGACACATAACTCCTACTCTCAGACATTCTCAATTGGAGTTGGAAGAGGGAGTCTTTCCTTCTAGAGTCGCGATTTTTTTTTTTTTGAGAACAAGAGTCGCTTTTGGTAGAGTCCTATGATGTCATAGCTCACAGCAACCTCAAACTCTTGGGTTTAAGTGATTCTCTTGCCTCAGCCTCCTGAGTAGCTGAGACTACAGGCGCCCACCACAACGCCTGGCTGTTTTTTTTTTTTGAGACAGAGCCTCAAGCTGTCCCCCTGGGTAGAGTGCTGTGGCATTGCAGCTCACAGCAACCTCCAACTCCTGGGCTCAAGCGAGTCTGGCTATTTTTTGGTTGCAGCCATCATTGTTGTTTGGCGGGTCCAGGCTGGGGATTCGAACCCGCCACCCTAGGTGTATGTGGCTGGCGCCTTAGCCGGTTGAGCCATAGGCGCCGAGCCCGCCTGGCTACTTTTATAGATGGGGGTCTCACTTTTGTTTAGGCTGGTCTCAAACTCATGAGCTCAGGCAATCCACATACCCCAGCCTCCTATAGTGCTAAGATTACAGGTGTGAGCCACTGTGCCCAGCATGGGAGTCCTGGATTTGATGTGGGACACACCTGGATCCCCCATTCAGATAGGAGATGTGCTATTTCTTCCCATAGACCCATGAGATGACAATGGGGGGAATACATGACACACTGACCAAAATAAAGGTCAGAGTGTGGTGGGATGGAGGGCTGCAGAGCCTAACATGGGGGTTCCTAGGAAGACTCCTTCCTTTGTGGGCCTGGCCTGCCCACCCGTGCCCACCATCAGATGGGTAGTGAGAACGCTACCTAATAAGTGGATTTGTCTTTCAGATATATGGTCTATATGTATTATCATAATTTGGCTTTGGCCTAAATGGGTTAAAAAATAGTTTTGTTGTGGGGGGGTAGGTTTTGTTCTTTTTTGTTTTGTTTTGTTTTTGAGATAGGTGTTGTTCTGTTCCTGGGCTAGAGTGCAGGATGTCATCATAGCTCATTGCAACTTAAACCCAGCTGCAACTTCTGGGCTCAAGGGATCCTCCTACCTCAGCCTTCTGAGTAGCTGGAACTATAGGTGCATGCCACCACACCTGGCTGATTTTTCATTTTTTTGTAGAGGCAGGGTCTTGCTGTTTTCCAGGCTTACTCAAATTCCTGGCCTCAAGCAATCCTCCCATCTTGGCCTCCCAAAGTGCTAGGATTACTGGTGTAAGCAACTGCACCATTTCTGCCCCAGGATTAGGAAGGAAGCTCAGCCATTATCTTCCTTTTCTACATCAGCTTTTCCTGCCTTCTGAAGCCCTAACCTCATGACTTCCTCACCTCTCTCCTGGGTCAGACGCACGCACACATACACACCCACTCACTTGCCTTCACCTCCTCCCATCCACGTGCATCCTCCTGTGTCAATCATGGGATGGGTATGAGACCCTCAGGGATGGAGAACTTGGGCTTCCTCCTTGAATTCTCTGTCCTGGGGCCAGAGGTCTCCCCTGGAAGAGCTCTGTCTGCAGTGACATCTGCTGCTTCCCTCTAGCTCCACTTTCCACAAAATTCCTGAGTCCCTTCTGGAGTTGGGAGGTGGAGAGAGCCAAAGGAAACCCATATCCCTGCCTTCAGGGAGACCCCAGGCTTTGTTCAAGCTCAGAACATAGAGAAAGGATCCCCGGCCACAGCAGAGCCTCCTGTGAGGTTGAGAGAGGCTCCTGGGCCACACAGGCCACAGCAGGAAAAAGTAGGGTTCAGTGCTAGAGTGATGATCTCCATGGTTCCAACTGGCCCAAGAAAAAGGAAGGGGAAAGGAATTGAATGACGTTCCTTGCTAAACTCAGGTCTGCCCATGAGGGTAGGCAACCAGGAGGCCTGAACAGGATATGGGAGAAAGAAAGAAGAAAGAAAAATGGAAAGTCTCAATTCATTATCGACTTACTGAGTTCCAGGCTCTGGACGAGGTACTAGGAATGTAAATAGAATGATAGAATCCCCACCATTGGCTTGGCACCTGTAGCTCAGGCACCTAGGGTGCCAGCCACATACACCGGAGCTGGCAGGTTCAAGTCCAGCCCCAGCCAGAAAATAGCTGGGCGTTGTGGTGGGCGCCTGTAGTCCCAACTACTTGGGAGGCTGAAGCAAGATAATTGCTTGGGCCCAGGAGTTTGAGGTTGCTGTGAGCTGTGACACTATGGTACCTTACCCAGGGGGACAGCTTGAGACTCTATCTCAAAAAAAAAAAAAAAATCCCCACCATCGAAGAACTCTCAGGAAGTCAACCTATGAGAAATGCTCAGTGTGAGGGGTTGCCCCCTGCAGGTGTGCAGGGCATAGGAGCTGTTCACACAGATCTCAGCAGAAAGGCCTGGGTGGAGTCCTATAGTAAGGAGGTCCTGGGAGGCATATAGTAGGGCCAAAAAGAGCCCAGAGGCAGCTTTGAGGTCGAAACAGGGTCCCTGGACCTGGCCTGTTTGAGGTTGAGTATATCAGTTGGCACCTCTGCCAGCCAGAAGGCTCCTTCTTCACTTGTAGATCGCACCCCTCCCCTTTTGAGACAGAGTCTCAAGCTATCATCCTGGGTAGAGTGCTGTGGCGTCATAGCTCAGCAAACTTCAACTCCTAGGCTCAGGAGATCCTCTTGCCTCAGTTTTTCTATTTTTAGTAGAGATGGGTCTCACTTTTGCTCAGGCTGGTCTCAAACTCATGAGCCCAGGCGATCCACCTGCCTTGGCCTCTCAGAGTGCTAGGATTACAGGTGTGAGCCACTGCACCAGCCTATCCCCCTCCTCTTTTTTTGAGACAGTCTCACTCTGTTGTCCTGGGTAGAGTGCCATGGCGTCATAGCTACAGCAACCTCAAACTGTTGGGCTCAAGTGATCCTCTTGCCTTAGCCTCTCGAGTAGCCTGCCACAATACCTGGCTAGTTTTTCTATTTTTAGTAGAGACAGGGTCTCATTCTTCCTCAGGCTGGTTTCAAACTCCTGAGCTCAAACAATCCTTCTGCCTCAGCCTCCCAGAGTGTTAGGATTACAGATGTGAGCCACTGTGCCCAGTCTTTTGGAATGGCTCTTCATAGGCTGTGTTGCAGTGTCTTCTTTTTGCAAGTAAAGACTCTTGGCCAGGCATTGTGGCTCATGCCTGTAATCCTGTAACTCAGAGAGGCCGAGGCATGAGGATCCCTTGAGCTCAGTAGTTCACGATCAGACTGAGCAAGAGTGAGACCTCATTTCTACTAAAAAGAAAAATTAGCTGGACATGGTGGTGGGAGCCTATAGTTGCAGCTACTCAAGATAGGAGGTGGGATGGGAGGATGGCTTGAACACAGGAATTCAAGGTTGCTGTGAGCTAAGTGGACACCTCTGCATTCTAGCCTGGGCAACAGAGTGAGACTCTGTCTCAAAAAGCTAAGGACTCTTTTCATAGGCCCCTGCACCCAGCATGTGGATTGAACACATGCTTTAGTATGCACTCTGAGAAAATTCAGTGACTAAAGCTACTACATGTTTGGTACAGCTTTTTGGTCAATCTGTTTTATCATCATCACAGCTCTTGCACAGATGAAAAAAACATTCACACATGCCCATATGAGCTGTGTTTTGGCCACAGGCAGTGCTTGGTGCACAAAGGGATTCAGGGGCCTTTTAGAATCACTCTACCCCTGTCCTGGCACCTAAGCTGGGAGCCCCTGCCTTAGCCTGAGGAATATTTCTCTGGGAGCAGAAGAAAGCTCCTTGGAAGAGGTGCTATTTGAGATGGACTTTAAAATGGGCAGGGCCGTATGCCAGGGCAGAGCCAGTTCTTTCACAGCTGGGACAGTAGACCCATGTCCTTTCTTCTCTTCATACTCCCTGCCCTCTGAACTCAGGGTGAATTTGGCACTGGCCTACACAGAACTGACAGAGGAGCTGGGCCGGCTTCGGGAGTTGAGTTCCCTGCAGGGGAGGATCTTGAGGACCCTGTTGCAGGAGCAGGCCCGGAATGGTGGTGAGATGAAGCAGGGCAGGGGAGGCTGCTGGGGACCTTTAGGGAGGGGTAGCTGTGGAAACCATCCCCATCTTGGGCGCCATCATGGACTTCTTGGTGGTAAGGGGAATGGGTGGGCGCTGGTCCGGGCAAGCCCATGTCTCACCAGTTCTGAGAAGTTCTCTCCGCACCTTCGTCCTTCCACCCTGTCCTTTCTCTTCCAGGCCAGAGGCATTCGCCATTGTCGCAGCGCCACTCCCCGGCCCCCCAGTGTCCCTCTCCCTCCCCGCCAGCCCGGGCAGCGCCCCCGTGTCCCCCTTGTCAGTCCCCCGTCCCGCAGCGCCGCTCTCCCGTGCCCCCATGCCCCTCGCCCCAGCAGCGCCGCTCGCCGGCCTCGCCCTCCTGCCCGTCACCCGTCCCACAACGCCGCTCGCCGGTGCCACCGCCGTGCCAGTCCCCCAGTCCGCAGCGCCGCTCCCCGGTGCCCCCCAGCTGCCCGGCCCCGCAGCCCCGGCCGCCGCCTCCGACGCCTCCGGGGGAGAGGACGCTGGCCGAGCGCGCCTACGCCAAGCCGCCCAGCCACCACGTGAAGGCCGGCTTCCAAGGCCGCCGCAGCTACTCGGAGCTGACGGAGGGTGCGGCCTACGCGGGCGCCTCCACGCCCTGGCTGCAGGCCGAGGCGGCCACGCTCCCCAAGCCCCGGGCCTACGGCGAGCTCTACGGCCCCGGCAGGCCCCTCAGCCCGCGGCGCGCCTTCGAGGGCATCCGGCTGCGCTTTGAGAAGCAGCCGTCGGAGGAGGACGAGTGGGCTGTGCCCACCAGCCCGCCAAGCCCCGAGGCGGGCACCATCCGCTGCGCCTCCTTCTGCGCTGGCTTCCCGATCCCCGAGTCACCCGCCGCCACCGCCTACACCCACGCCGAGCACGCGCAGTCCTGGCCTTCCATCAACGTGAGTGGGCACTCCCTGCCCATGTAGCTTGAAATAGAGACCTCGACCCCCTCTTCCATTTGGGAACCCCACCCCTCTTGGGTGTCAACAAGCTAGCCAATCACACCTGATAGGCAGGGTGCCCCCTCCTTGGACCCTGGTACATAATATAGATCCTCTTATCTCTCTTTCCTGCTTTCTTTTTTCTTTTTTTTGAAACAGAGTCTCACTTTGTCGCCCTCAGTAGGGTGCCATTGCTGTGGTGCCACAGCAACCTCAAACTCCCCCTTTTTTTTTTTTTTTTTTTT